AATTGATTTTACCCTAGCCTCCTCTCAATGTCACCGCATAAATTGGAATGAAAGAATATTCTAGTACAAAGTACACTTAAAATAAAGCAGCACAACTGCCTAAATTAAAGTTACTGCATATGCATAAGCACACGTGAGAGATTAAGAATGAGCGCAAAGGAGAACTAGGGAAGATGAAATCAGTAACTTTTGTTTTTGTCGCTTTCGCTGTCGCTGCTGATTAGGCTGGTGCTTAATTTCGGCAACAGGTGTGGAAAAAAATGTTCGCATTTGCGTTTGCGCAATTTTGCGCAAAAATTTTAAATTGGGTATTGTAGTACAGATGTATATTAATATTACCTACATGGTCTCTGGTTGGAAGCTGATGGAAGGCTAAAAAAATTAGATTCGAAAAAATGTATTTTCAAAAAAAAACAATTTTTCGCTAATTAAATGAGAATCCCATTAACACAATAATACATATTGATAAAATTTTTTATTGGTGATATAGTTTACAGTAATAATAAACTGTTAAAAAAAAATTTTATCGAAAAAATGTTCGTAAATAAAAAAAAAATTATATTATATTTTTATAGGATTTTCGCCACTTGTCACTTTTAAGGTTGAAAATTTTTATGTAAACGGAATTAAAACAAGCTAATACTTTTGGGGAACCATAGTTCAAATATTCCTTAATTGATTAGAAATAGACATTTTTAAATCCAGGACTATTGAAAAATTGGATTTATGGCAGCATCCGGACCACGGTTAACCGTTTCAATAATATGCGTCTAATTTCCCATTCTCATATAATGTACATTTTGGGTCTTCCCAAAGTGGACTGCAGTCCGCTACGAAGCTAAGAGATATGTCCGATAAAAGAAATGCTAATCTACGTGCTCTTCAGTTAATGGGTTCAGCTGAGCAAATTTCAATCTGCGTTATTGTCCATGTTTTACTGCAAAAATTAGATAGCAAGACTCAGGCCAATTGGGAAGAATCTGAGGCTATTGATGAATTTACTTCGATTAATCATTTCACTACATTTTGGTCCAAGCGTTGTCGAAAATTGAAAAATATAGAGCACACTGCAGTTTTGTACTCAAATGATTTACAATCAGGAAAAAAACGCAACAAAAGCATCATAGCCTTTAGCGTCTTGGCTCTCAGCCTTCGGCCCAGGTTAAGCGAACTCCTGTTGCGGAACAAAGTACGTCAAATCCAATTGTTTCAAGCGCTTTTTGATATTGTCTTTCTTGCAACTGCAGTCATAAGCGTTTAAAGTCGATCAGCTGCTTGGATCCCATGCCGTGTGTTGCTGTACTCGGGATCACAATTCCACATTGTGACTTCCTGACTCGCTCACCAGTTGCAATTCCCGAAAACGAAGTCTACCGTATCAGTTGCTAGTCTTGGAGATGCTCGATTTGACTCGGATGGAGTTTCCGTTTGCTTTAAGTTAAAGCCGCATATTTTCGATTACTTCGCATGCATATCTACTCTTGTTGCTCCAGCAATTACTGATAATCAACCCAGTTGGCTGGAAAATTCCCTCTAATATTCAGTTGGCCGATCGAAAATTTTATAAATCTCAGCGTATAGATCTTCTCATTGGCGCTAGCATATTTTTTGAGTTATTATCTGTAGGGAAGATTAAGTTGGCCGCTGGGTTACCTCTATTGCAGAAAACGAGGCTTGGATCGTAACAGGAGGTGGATCTTCTACTATTAAGGCAACTGCAAAGCAGGGTCAAGCTGTGCAGCGTGAATTGGTTGCTGCTGAAGGTCGTATGGACGACGTTGACGAATTGATAACAGGAGGAAAATCAACACAGGAGGTCCTCGAAATCAGGTCTCAAAGCATCAACTTGATTACACGAGGTGGTTTTAAACTCAGGAAATGGTGTTCCAACGATAGCGGAGTCCTTGATCAAATTCCTGACAAGGAAAAAGAAACTTTCCTGAAGTTTCACGATGGCAGCGACTTTGCCAAGACTTTGGTTCTTTTTTGGGACCCTGCAAAGAAATTTTTTCGTTTTTCTTTTTCCCCATACAGGTCATTTCAAAGCCATGTAAACGACTGGTGTTGTCCACAGTTGGGACGTACCCAGCAAATGAAGTTTCCTCGACATCCGTGGGATGTTATTGAGGTTCACGGATTCTGTGACGCTAGCATCGACGCCTATGGAGGATGCATCTATTTCGTTTCAAAAGCTGATGGCAAACGAGATGATGCGGGACGTACGCAACATGAATCTCTTCGATTGCCCGTTTGGTTACTGGTCGGATTCTGTGTAGCTTTATCACGGATAAGCGATAAACCTTCACGTTTTCAAGTATTTATTGCTAATGGAATATCTTTAATTCAAGAACTATCCAGTAGCATGAATTGGCCCTATGCACCGACTAACTGCAATCCAGCCGACATTTTTTGTCAAGAGGTGTGCTTCTTGAAGTGAACTTCTGGAATCTGGCCTTTGGTTCCGAGGCCCAGCGTTTCTTCTCAAGAATCAGCACGATTGACTTGTTTCCCTGTGAAGACTCTTCCCGACCTCAGAAAGCGCATTTTGATTTGCACGCCGTATAAAACGACGAAGATGTTAAAATGGGCACTCAGATGCTTATTAAACGTATCCAAATGCGAAACCTGGCTGATAACTACTGGAGGCTGCATTCTAAGCAGCAAATTTCATCATCCAGCCCGTTGTGCTCTTTTCCCATTCGTCGATAGCTTTGGGCTGATGCGAATTGGTGGCAGACTACAGAACTCGTCCTCGGATTATAATGCGCAGCATCCTGTCATACTGCTACTGGATGCTGCATCCAGTTACACGGGCCATTACATGTATTGGATTTGCATCGGAAGAACTTGCATTCTGGTCATTGAGCGCTGCTCGCTCACATGCGTCTCCAATTTCGGCCGATAGGTGGCCGGAAAACAGTGTCCAAATGCGTCGTATGCTTTCGAGCCAAACCAAGGCTATCTCAACACCTAATGGCTGACTTGCCCAAGGATCGTGAAAACGTCTACGTTCATGGTTACTGGTCTGGATCTCTGCGGTCCACTTTAGTTTCGCGACGAAAGCAATCCATCTGGAGCTTGTCCAGGATCTTTCGACACAAACATTCTTGGGAGCACTGAAGCAGTTTAGTTTTATAAGAGGCAAACCTACCCGAATATGGTCGGATAATGCTACGAACTGAAGAATCTATTCTTAGCGAGCCCCTACACACGAGCTATAGAAGAATTCTGCCTGGAAGATTCGATTGAGTGGCGTTTTATTCCCCCTCGTTCACCTCACTTTGGAGGCATCTAGGAGGCTGCAGTAAAAACCACCTGTACGCCCTCTTTCAGAAAATCTGGCAGATTTTGAGGTGCTAACTCCTGCACATCTTCTTGGCACAGTTCTGCTGGTGCTGTACTCTGAGCCTGACGTCGCAAAGCTGAACTTTAAACCGCTTGGACCGCTGGCAGAGAATTTCTTACTTCCAACAAATCTTCTGGTCACGGTGGCGTGAAGACGCAACGCTCAAAGTGGCACACTCCCAAGCCTGCGCTACAAATCAACCATGTCGTCCTGGTTCAGAATGAGAATTTGCCTCCGCTTAAAAAGCCATAAGCCAGGGTCATGGAATTGGTGCCTGGATGCGATAGAGTTGCTCGTGTGACAGTCATACGAACATCAACTGGAACCACTCAAGAAGGGTTGTCCGCAAGTTGTGCGTGCTGCCGAAACAGGTCTGGTTGAAAGTCCTGGCCTAACTCAAATCTTTAAATTTCAAATCTTAACGTAAATTGAGTTCTCGATAATTGCTTTAGTTATTCTATTTGCCCTGCGTGGCAACTCTTTCATTAATTGTAGTTGCTACTTCTTTTGCACTTTTTAGCTTATCGCTGCCTGGCTCTTTGTCCATGGCAAGCAGCTTCTTTCAGTAGTTCGATTTTGTACTCGCTCACAGAACATTCACAAACATACACTTTGTAAATTAAGGCCTTGGCCATTCAAATAACTAAGTGCAAAATTAAGTGAAAATTTGATTGTTTTATTTGGGCACCACCAACGGTTGTGGTTAAGAAAAATCTCACTGACCCAACAAAATTATTGGAAAAAAATTGATAACGTCGTTGTTTTTTATCGACCAGTTTTTATACCCTTGCAGAGCAAACGGTATTATAATTTCAGTCTGAAGTTTGCAACGCAGTGAGGGAGACACCTCAGACCCCATTAAGTATGTATATTCTTGGTCAGTATCACGATCTGAATCGAAATACGTCTGTACGTCAGTCCGTCTATCCGTTTCTACGCAAAACTATTCTCTCAGTTTTAAAGCTATCTTGCTAAAACTTTCCCAAAAGTTGTATAGCTATTGCACGCAGTATATAAGTCGGAACGAGCTCCCATACGAGAGATTGAAAAAAAAATTATTCCTCCGTTGGGTAAAAAAATTTCTTATATATAAATAATGAAACAAATTTATAACGTCGTTGTTTTTTATCCTACGACCATGATTTTTGGAACATACAATTTTTTTATAACCCTTGAACCGAGAAAAAATTTATATAAAATTAACGGAAATTAACGGATATAAAATAATTACAACGTTGTTTTTCATCAGAAAAGTTAAATATTTAAAATATAGAATTTTCTAATAACTCTTGAATTTCGAATTAAATGTCATATTGTTTTCATATGAACAATCTTTGAAAATACAGAAACTTCATAGAAAAATCGACATAGCTTCGATGTTGTTTAGCCTCTATGTATTTGGTTTGACACATTTGATGACTGCAAGGGTATATTATATGTATAGCTTCCTTCCTCGTTTTTCTTTACTCCAATTAAAAAAATTTTTATATTTTAAAAACAGCTATTATAGCGTGTATTACTTACCAAAAGTTATTACGAATTAAATGTTTTTAAAAATTAAGGGCGAAACAGTTTGGCTAAGAAACTTTTGGAAAGTTGAAATACTTGTAACCATATAAATTTTAAATTTATCATTTTCTTGTACTATTTTCAGACCATCAACACAATAAACTCATCCCGGAACTCAAATTATATGAAATGAGAGCTGAGAAATATAATGGGATGGTTCGCCTACTAAAGCCAGGATGCCGAACATTACTTCTTATAACCGATTTTCAAAGTCGTTATAAACTTATACCAAATTTTCACAAAGCAGTTTGGCCATACAGAAAATCGAAAACGTTATTGTTTGGGCATATGTCGATTGAAAAAGGATTACCGTGGTTTACCGAAATTCTTCGATTATCTTTGTGCTCAAAACGAAAGCTTCAAGTTAATCCAAGAAATTGTGTTGGTACTGTTCTTGCGTTAAATGGTCACCGAAAATACTTTTGTATGTACCACGCTAAACACCCAGAGTCTGATCAAGGAACAAAGGTAAATATAAAAAGAAACTCATAACTTAGGTAGACGACACTCGATAAGCTGTGTTGCTGAGTTAACACTAATTTCTTTCCATCATGTATTTGCTGAACGGGTTCTCAACATACCTTCTTTTTCAAGAATATTTGTTTTGCTATTGATGATGTTGCAATGGCTGCGCTTGAGCCTTTCAATTAATACGAGTTGCCAAGCAAGGACCAAGAATAAATATCAGCATTCCCCAACTTTTATTTTAGATGTGTCAATGCTATATGACTGATATTTGCAGCTATTGCAGCTATACGCAGCTATATGTCGGAATGGTCGGGATTGCTCGATAAATAATGTAACACAATTATGCCGTTGCTGTTTTTTATTATATAAGCACGATTATTGGATTCTGATTTTTTTAATATGTGTTTAAATTTTTTAAAAGTCAACTGAATCCAAAATCCTCAAAAACAAGAAAGAAAGCTAGAAGATTTTTCATATGGCAGATTTTTTAAAAGTCAACTGAATCCAAAATCATCAAAAACAAGAAAAAAAAGCTAGAAGATTTTTCGTATGGCAGCTATATGATACAGTTGTCCGATTTTGATACAATTTAATTCGTAATTCAATGGTAGTTAGAAAACGCCATCTGGAAGAAATCAAGTCGATCTGATCAAAAACAACGGCGTAAGAATTTTCTATTTCATTCTCTCGTGTGGGAGCTATCCGATATAGTCGGCCAATCTACCACATCTTCTGGGAAAGTTTCAGCAAGATAGCTTTAAAACTGAGAGACTAGTTCAAAGAAAAACAGACAGACTGACAGACGTACAAACGTAGTTCGTTTCTGATCGTGAAGATGATCAAGAATGTTTAGTATACTCATATCACCTTTTCTACTGGAACTTCTTTATCTTAAAAACCATTAGCAGTAAAGGAGACACCTCTTACCCCATAAAGAATTTTTATTTTTACGGTGTTTAATTATCGAACCTTCTCTCAACCAGACTTACGACAAGTATTCAAATCTTAGTCTAATACATATAATCAATTAATTAAAATTAGGTTTTATTTTTGGAATAACGGCCCTAGTTATTGTTGCTGGATGGGGAGATCTCTTCGTCGGAGTCGTGTGTGGCTAGTGTTCCACGTTAAAGACCGCGCCAGCCTATTTGGATGACCCTGTAGCTTGATCGTATACTTTGCTTATACTTTGTCTATTTCCTCTTTAATAGATCCCACGATTAAATCTCTGTGAATGTTTTCATTCCGTATGTACCACGGTGCACCCGTTGTTGTTCTCAGTATCTTTGATTGGGCTCTCTGGATCATTTCTAGGTTACTAACGCATGCGTTCTCCCATAGCTCGGAGCCATACTCCCAAATTAGTTTGAGAACTGCATTGTACATAAGTACCTTGTACTCCAATTTCAGCGGAGAGCGAGCATTTATAAGCCAGTGTAGGCTTCTTACTTTTAATTTAAGTTGTGTTTTCTTGGCTTCGATGTGCCTTCTCCAGATAAGCCGTCTATCAAGGTCGACTCCAAGATAAGTCACTTCCGTTGTTTGTGAAATATGGACGTTGTTCAAAGATGGTAGGGTTCAGCGTTGCTCTCATGGGGCACTTAGATCGACTTAGAATCTTCTTCCTTGAGGTACTCCAGCTTCAATTGGATGGTAATCGGAGCGGAAATCTTTACACCGTACTGCGAAACTTCTATGCACAAGATATGATTCCAGTATTTTGAATTTTATATACAAGCCGTCCAACCAATCGCGGTCGAAGGCCTGGGCGGCATCCAGAAAGACTGCGGAACAATACTCTTGACTTTCAAATGTATTTCGTATCTCGGAGGTTATTCGGTTTACTTGTTCAATGGTTCCATGTTTTTCGCGGAAACCAAATTGGTGGCTTGGAAAGGCATTATGGGACTGTAGGTGTTCCTTTATACGATTCAGGAGCAGCTTTTCAAATATCTTTGATAGGCACGACAGACGACTGGTTGGCCTATATGATGAAGGCTGGGACTTGTCCTTTCCAGCTTTATGGATCATAGTGATCACAGACTTTTTCCATTGTTGTGGATAAAAGCCCCATTTTATCATGGTGTTGAATATCGTGCTGAGAAGATTTTTTGCACAGTTCGGCAATTTCAATTTCTAGATGTGCAGCAAATACATTTGCCCTCTCTGCGTTGCTGTAAGCCCACTCTCCTGTTCGTGTGTGTAATGCCGGTTCACTTTCGATTGGTGGACATATACCCGATTCAGCTTTCCACAGTGGATATCGTCTGCTGTTAGGGGAGAGATTCTGCAAATAGGATAATTGAGATCGATTTTTTTCATCTTCTAGGGCTGCGCGTAGAAGTCAGTTGGCTGTTTTAAGCTGCTCCTCGAGGCAAGCGATCTGTGGGCTTGCCACTCCCTCCGAAGCCTTCTCTTATTGCGTAGCAATTCCTTAATATGCCCAAAAGCTCGACTGCTGCTAGAATCAGAATTAAAATTACAAGCCGATATAATAGGTGTGGAGTGTTGACCAGCTAGTGACATAACAGACACTAGTGCTTCAACTGAGCTGTCAATCTCTTATTTTTGGTACATGTTTGGGAAGCCATCAATATGGGTACTTACATTCTTTCTGTATTTAAGCCAATCTATTTTACAGGAAGTTAGAAGATGTGCTCGTTTTGAAAGCTGTGGATGGTCGTAGAGAAGAAGTAAAAGGGGCGAGTGATTCGATAAAAGATCTGTTAAGTGTTCCACATGAACATAACCTCTAGGCACTCTTCTTGTGACGGCAAAATCCATCAGACCAGGCTTCTTATTAGGATCTGCTGGCCAATAAGTAGGCTTACCTGGAGAGATAAAGTCAAGTTTGTTTCTTGGTGTTATTATAGCGTTGTACAGCTGTCTTCCTTTTGGATTGGTGAGTCAAGAGCCCCAATGGAGGTGTTTCGCATTATAATCACCAGCCGCTATAAAACGGTCACCTAATAGGTCAAAGAACTTTACAAATTCATCTTCGGAAATGGAAAAGCGTGGTGGGCAATATACAGCGGACAGGTTTAAGAAACCGCTTTCAGTATCGATGTGTATTGATGTAGCATGTAGGCTGTTGCGAATGATGGCAACTCATAATGCCCGATGCGTTTCTTGATCAGTATGCCATTGCAGCCATGAGCCTTGTCATCAGGATGTTTTGTTTTATAAAATGTATAGCCATTGAGGTGGAAATGGTTTTTGTTTGTTAGATGAGTCTCTGATATAAGACAAACTTGCCCTCCGATCTACTTGAATAGCACACAAATCCCACAAGACAACGAAGTAACGTATCTCGGCGTCCACATCGATAGACTCCTAACATGGCGTAGACACATCGAATGCAAGAAACTACATCTTAAACTAAAAGTCAGCAGCCTCCACTGGATTATAAACGCCCGATCGCCCATGTGTCTGGACTACAAGGTACTGCTCTACAACTCCACTCTTAAACCAATCTGGATGTATGGCTCCCAGCTCTGGGGAAACGCGAGCAAAACTAACATAGACATCATACAGCGCGCTTAAGCAAATATCATGAGAACTATCACTGGGGCACCATGGTATATTCGAAACGAAAACATCCACAGGGACCTTGGCATTCTCGCAGTAAAAGATGAAATAGAGAAGCAAAAAGCGTCATACAAGGAAAAACTCTCAGCACACCCAAATCCTCTTGCAAGGGATCTGACTCGGGTTTCCAGAAGAACCCGCCTGCAACGTAACGACCTTCCAACCCAGCCATAATTTGTCAGGGCCATTTTTACTGTTCCAGTCTATATGACTGATAGTTAGGTTATAGTATAAGATTTGATACACTTACTGTTAGTCTCGTAAGGAGAAGATTCAATAAACAAAACAAAGCTAAAAAAAAAAAAAAAAAACTCTGCTTGCAACATAAGACGGTTTGATGACGCCGTCGGCAACAATCTTCAGATCGATCGGGCACTGCTCGAGGACTATTGACGGCTGGAATGCACTTTCGATCATCTCTTTAACGCTGTTTTGGAATTCTAGGGGAGCTGTAAATAAATTTGGATCTTCAAATATGCTATAGACATCGTTTGGATACTCATCGGCTTCCAGACTTCGAAATACGTATCCCTTCGCATCGGCAGTAAACTCGAACTTTTTCAGGAAATCGTGTCCCAAGAGTGCGCTGCAGTCTATTGCACCCCGTGAGACAACCAAAAATTTTTGCATTGTTTTCAGCTGATCTACCTCGACGTTGGCGTTAAAAAATCCAATCGGCTTTGTATTTTTGTTGCCCAAGCCTCGCAGTGTTGAGCTACTTTGGAAAATTTCGATATTGCCCAACTCTTTCAATACAGCTTCATTAACGATTGTCACGTCCGAGCCGGATCCACTAGGCACTCAACTTCAACACCGTTTATGGTCACTTTCTTTAGGCGACTGCGATCCACAACAACACGAACTTTCGGGATGCTTTTTGGACAATCCTTGGATGTATGCCCGTTCTCATTACAGCTGAAGCATTTTTTTTCGGCGTTACTGCAGAGCCACAGTTAAAACAATATTCCTTTCTTTTCTGGTCCGGTACTTGTTTGTTTGAAACAGTGGGTTCATTTTTCCTTTGATTAGCTCCGTTTTTTTCGTTCGTTCCGTTCCTTTGGTTGCTCTCCTGTTGGAACAGATCGAAAATCTAATACTCTTCTTTTAACTCTTTGTATGACTTGCATCGCAACATGGCAACTTTAAACTTGCTTTTTATTTGCAGCCCGTTTACAATGTAACGCAAAACAGCAGCCTCCTCAACATTTCCAACACTTCCCAGCCTCTTCATATGCTGCAGATACTCGTGAAACGGTTCGTTTTTTTTCTTCTTACGATCGCGCAACCACTGGTGTACATCGGCACTATTCCGGCTGCACTCAAACTCAGCAATCAATTTTTCCTTCAGCTCACAAAAGTCACTCACGCATTCTGATTCCAGGAATAACTTGGCCGTGCCGATCATTTTTGCC